TCTTGGCTGCTGGAAGGGCAAGGAGCACCTGTTCCCTCTCTATCTCTCCTAGCAGCTTTGCAGAATTCTCTCCCTCTGTTCATCCTTGCAGCTTGAAGAGTGGAGGGAATGGAGCTGACAGCAGATGTAAGGAGAACAGTTACAATGACAACTTTTCTTCTTCCACAGCTGGTTTCATAAGCTCTCGCACTCGCCTCCCAACACCCCGCAGAGGTGCTGAGCACTCTGCAGGATACACAGGTATCACACTGAATAAGCTGTGCTCCTATGACAGATGCTCTGCTCCCATTACATCAGACCAATCAAAGAAAGGAAAAAGCTGGTCCTTAGTATTTGCCTGTCTGGGAAAAACATGCACCACACAAACACGCACACACACTGAGGAAGGCAAGAGAGTGATTTGATTTAGTGCCGTAAGTGGTTAAGGATATTTTAGTACACTGAAAGAAGCAGAAGTTTTTTTACTTTCTCTACACATATTACAGGAGGATAGAATATGGTTTATAATCTCTGAGACAGGACCCTCATGCTGCCAGTGTCAAACATGATGCAGTTTTTCAGCCAGCTGCCCACAACAGGAGGTCTCAGAAATACCAACTGGAATTTAAAGTTTTGCTTCCAAATGCATTTCACTTCTTATGTCAAGCATAAAAACAGTTTTTACCTTGTGACAGCTGACTTTAGTAAAAGTGTTAGAGATTTTCTTCATGTTGGAAAATGATGCCTATGATATTTAATATGAGGAAGGGCCTAAAAGTCCTCAAAACATTCTCTCTAAATATTGGAGAGACCGAGGTGCTACTCCTAAGCAGCAGAAGACAGTGCACTATCCACTGAAATATACCAATATCTGCAGAGCCCAAACTATGACAGTGCAAAGTTAACCTTGGCAGAGGGTATGGAGACTCAAAGCACCTCCATCTTCTCTCCAGCCTCACTGCTCCATATCTCAATCATATTGGAAGCAGGTGGCCTTTCGACTAAATAAAGGCATCTGGCAGAAAAGAGGTACCTAGAATTGTTTTGTCCCAGACAAAGAAAGCAACTGATAGGCAACATGCTACTTAATTTCTCGCTGCCTTAAGGGGCTTTAAGTGTTCTGTAGCATGATAGATTTGGCACTGCACGCTCAAAAGACACAGTACAGTTTTAAAGTTTCATTCAACAGTCATGCATCATTGAACAATTTAGTTACTGACATTAGGAGCAGTTCCTGCATTTATTAGCCAATGAGAAGCTATGGTTTCTAGAAAAACCACACACACACACACACACACACTTCTGCCCTAATTTTTAGCTTTTGCTTCTTATTTCTCCCTTTTTCCATTTGCAAGACTGTCCCAAAGCTTTTCTTTGTTGCTCTTCTAGTTATGAGTTGATGAATCCACAGTTTAAAAAACAAATGAGAGACATGTACAAATAGTAGTAATTTATATCTGTGCTTCAAACAGTATTTCAAGCACAAATAGCATTTCACTGCCAAAACAAAAAACAAAACCCCAAACAATAAAAGCAAATACACTTCTACCCCGATATAACGCTGTCCTCGGGAGCCAAAAAATCTTACTGCATTATAGGAGAAACCGCGTTATATCAAACGTGCTTTGATCTGCTGGAGTGGGCAGCCCAGCCCCCCAGAGCGCTGCTTTAACACATTATATCCGAATTCATGTTATATCGGGGTAGAGGCGTACTATGGACCCAACAGAAATCACTTTTAACACCAAACCTTAAGGAGGAAAAGTTGTTGTGACACTACTTTGACCTATATCCAGCACATGCTTCTCCTTGCCAGTAGTCTCACTGAAGTTTCTGCTCATGTGAGTAAAAGTCTACAGCACTGGACCCTTAATTTGAAACCATGGGAATGGAGAAGGGAGCACATGGAGGCAGAGTTATTGGTTTATTAGCAATACAAAGCAGCAAAGATGACTAATGGATCATGAAGTCTCAAAACTGAGAGAAACCATTTTTAAAAGCAAAAATTACATCTGTTATAAAAATTAATACTTTCTATCACACCAAAATGAACAAGTCATCCTGGGGGATGCTCTCACACACATCATTTGAGGTTATTTAAGCAAATATTCCCAATTTACTGTACCCTTTTTCTTCTAGGTAGATTTGTGACAACAGCCCTACCACACTTGCCAGCTTTCCACTCTTTCAAAACATCCCAGACTGCAGTGTACTGTTGGTATCACCAACACTGACAAAACAGTAACTCTGTTTAAGAGATAAAGCAAGTCCGTTTTTATTCCCTATTCAGTGTTTTCTATTCTTGATTTACATACAACAGAGTAAAAAAAAAATACAAATTTTGCTTTTTAAAAACAAACACTAAACACTGGGGAAAAAATTCTACATATTTTCCTTGTAAACAGGTTTGCTGCTTCATTTGCAGCTACTTGTGTTAACAGTACTGTGCATGCCAGGATGTCTTGGAGCAGGAAATCTGGCTGGAGCAGAGCTGTGTCATGGCCCTGAAAAAGGTACATTAGAAAAAAAAAATACATCAATGGTTTATTATGGCTCATCCAACAACTTCTATTGAAAAAGATCTGTTTTTTCCATCTCTGATTAGCACACTGATCAAAATACATTAAGTTCACTGAAGAGCAAAGCACACATTTTAAAACTAAAAAGTTGTTGAGGAATGTTTTAACTTCTAGTCAGATCAAAAGAAAAAAAAATCACATCCATCCTTAGACACTGTCCAGTATAAACATTTTGGAAAATATGAATATAAACAATGAAGTGATCAGACATTTGAAAAAAGCGTCACTGCTAGGTACACACAACAGGAGAGTCCTATATAACCGAAACACCCAGCAACAGTATGGAGCCATGCAAAGACACAGGTCTAATACTTTATAGTCTCACTGTCTAATGTATTGAGACACCCTGAGATATTTCATTCATTCCGTGCTTTCCCTCCAGTCTCAGAGAAGATTTTGGGACTGTCATAGCTCTTCACCTCCTTGATCTAGGATCTGATAATATCTTCTCTTATCCTCTGCACTGGAGCTGTTCCCCCCAACTCCCCACCTAGGTTCCAACCCCTTCCCACCTAGGCAAGCTGGAGATAGGGTGGAGATTCCAGTGCCCTTCCTCCCTTCAGGGCCGGCTCCGGCTTTTTTGCCGCCCAAGGCAAAAAAGCCTCCCGCCCCTCCCCCCCCCCGCCGCCCCAGCGCGGCAGGGGAGGGCGGCGAGCCCGGCCGGGGGCCGCTCTCCCCGACCAGCCAGAGCGCCAGGGGGAGGGCGGCGAGCCCGGCCGGGGCTCCGCTCTCCCCGGCGGCCAGAGCGCCGGGGGGAGGGCGGCGAGCCCGGCTGGGGCTCTGCTCTCCCCGGCGGCTGGAGCCGCCGCGCCGCACCGCCCCCCTCCAGGTGGCGCCCCAAGCACAAGCTTGGTGGGCTGGTGCCTGGAGCCGGCCCTGCCTCCCCTTCACTCCCTCTCCCCTCCCTTCCCACGGAAAGGTCAGATGGCTACCAATGGTGCTTCGCCTACATAGCTTCAGGATCTTTAAGGAAGTCCTCAAAACATGAAGGTTTTCTTTAACATCCTTAAAATATGTCCATGTATTCAGAATGAATGGGGTGTGTGTAAAGAATCTCTAGTTGCTCCTCAACCTCTCCAAGAACTGGAAAAGGACTTTGTCAGTCTCCTCCATGTGCTGTCTTCGCCTGTTCTATTTTTCCCTAATCTCATTTTCTTTTCTTTAGAACAAAAACAAACAAGAAACAAACACAACTAAGTATGTTAGTAAAATGTTAAGGCTGTAATTTAAACATAAATTACACATGAAATGAAAAAGTTAATATTTGCATATTAACATTGCCTCTCAATATAAATGTAGTATTTCTGATTACTAGTCTATTAATCTATACTTCAAGTAGATCAGGTGCATAAAGAATATATAATAGGTAAGATGAGTGAGTTAATACTATTACAAGAATCTTCCTTTATTTTTGTATTTCATGACTTGTTTAAATATGTAAGCCTACCATTAACTTCTTGCATTTCAATGTATTTTTGTTTGTTTTTGTCCAATTAGAATAACGTACTCAAAAAGCTATAAAACCTTTATTTCCCACAGCTAGCATATTTCTAAAGACTCTGACTCTAAAAACGTATTAAATATTGTTTTCAGCTTTTTGTGAGGTGGCCTTGCTTCACAAAAAAACTCAGTTAAAAAAAAAAAAAGAGAGAGATCAGCACAGATTTCAACAGTTCCGCTACTAGCTAGACTGTCTGCTTGTCGAGAACAGAAGCTCAGCAGACTACTCTCTGTAAACATGCCCCAAACTGTCATACTTCATAGTATAAAGGCAAGAAGTAACACTAAACACTTGCATCAGTGTATTTATCATCCTCCACGTAACTCTACCACTTTATAGGCTTTTGAATCTTTAAAAAAAAAAAGTTCGTTTGTTTTTTTACTACCAAGCTCCAAAAACACAACTGCATCATGCTTAAGCACAGATTGTTCTCATGCAGCCTCAAAGTTCACCAGAGGCCAACTGACTATGATGGGATAAGAATTTAGAGAATAATGTAAATGCTTTAAATCAGTGGTCTCCAAACCGTGGGACATGCTCCCCTGGGGGCGGGTGTGGAGAAACGTCTGGGAGGGCGGAGCGGGTTGCAGGCCAGCCCACACAGGGGGGCAGAGAAGGAACACCACCCAGCCCTGCTCTGCACGCAACTCCGCTCTGGACCCACCCCCAGCTCCAGACCCTGGCCACAGCTGCAGCCCCAGCTCCACTCCTGGCCCTAGACCGCCAGGCTCCGGTTCCCAGGCCACAGCTCCCAGCCCCCAGGCTGCCGGTTCCACTCCCAGCCCAGGGAGGGCATGGACACATGCCATTACTGTTAAGGCGGGGCACGAGAAGAAAAGTTTGGGCACCACTGCTTTAAATGCTTGGGACTGAAGGGAGTATGGATGCTGAAATATTCCACATTATAGCCACCGGGTGAAGGGTCATATTATAATACTTACCCATGCTCATCTTAATGGGCAAGTTTTCTCTGCTTGCAGCCTCCACTAGGTGTCTCCTAACTTCCATCACAGCTTCCTTTTGTCTGAGATTCATTAAGGACTCCCAGAGTGCTTTGGCAGCTGGATCACTGTAAAAAAAACAAGAGAGTTACACTAAACATCTGTTGCATAATGAAATAAGTTTAAGGCAACATTTACATTTTAAAATGTGTGTTCATATGCAGTAACTTCTATGAGGTGGACAGTATACAGACTAAAGATTAACTTTTAAAAATGGTTACTGTGATTCTATATTAAAAGCTCATATTGGCTTGTTACAAACTTGCATTACAAGTCACACATCCACATTTTCACAGATATTAACATAAGCTAAAATAAACAAGACAGCCCAGATGTAACCACTATAGTTCACTTCGGAAATATCAACAATGCTCTGAGGTTTTTCAAATACTGCAACTGAAGTACAGATAGGCTCCAACTCCAAAGTTTGGGTCTGGATCTTGGTGCAAACATTCTTAAAATTTGGGAGCTGGTGTGCTGATTTGATACAATGGGCACCATATCTCGGGGCTTTGTTTATTGTCCTCATACTTACATATAAGAAATGAACAATATGCAATGAAGCTTAACGGTCCTTATGTTTTTGGTATCTACAGAACGTTAACATTATTTACAGTTAGCTTTTAATAAAAGACACTTAGTATTTTATTTGGCTCATCTGCATTCATTTCCTCATCAGTATTCTCTCTCACCCCAGATACTGTATTTTATATAATGAATGGCTCCAGTGTTTTCTCTGGAACAAACTTGCCTTAAGCTAAGTCCGCGCACATTTGATTGACTGGGTTGATTTTTTTGCTTGTTTGTTTTTTTAAAAAGCTTCCATCTGTTTTCTCTCAGGAGATTTTTTCCTCCTAAATTTCCTCTAGAGACCCTTACCACAAGTTTACCGTACGCCAGAAATAATAGGTTTTTTTATGAAATACTCATAATTGAGTTGATACCTGTGTTGTGCTCTCTCCACTGATACGGTCTGGTTATGTTAAGTCCAGCATATCATCCTCCAGTGCAGGTGAGAGCGCTTTCCAAGCCCGTCTATTAGTAGCCCAAGAACCCCATAACCTCTATTTGGATTTGGCAGGGAGCATGTGGAGAAGTGGAGGATGGGAAGGAAATTAAACACCTCCCTCAGCTAACCAGCGTGGGGGGGAGGAAATGTATATTTTATGTGTGTGTGAATGAGAAAGCAAGCATTTTATCCCATTAACATGCTCTGAGAAAGACAATCCAAGCTAAATAGCAGAGAAAGATTGGAGTAAATTGGGGAATAGTCTCCCCAGGGAAATGGCAGGAGACCCATCACTTGAGACATTTAAAAATTAGCCTTGATAAAGCACTAAAAAAATAACCTGTACAGCACGATCCTGCATCAGCAGAGGAACTGACTAGATGACCTAAAGAGTCTCTTCATTTCTAATTTCTAGGACACTTATTACATCTCTCTCAGGCCAATGAGGCCTGGGGGGACAGCTCCTTCCAGAGACCATCCAGCCCACTTGTGATGCAGCCACAAGCAATATAAGTCACTCCACTCGCAAGGGTGGTCTGAGTGCACTGTCATGATGGCCAGCCCAGCACCAGACTTTGATCTCTTGTAACACAAAATGGAGTACTTTTTGATACAAGGACTAGAATTCAAGACAAAGCAGAGGTTCCAAGAGTAACTGTATGCTTCAATGCAGCTTCCTTGAATTAATGCACTGCTGTGTTACTTTACAGTTATGATTATTGGATTGTTTGGGTTTAGTGCTTAAATCCCTTTCTAGTTATCATCATCATACGAAAATGTAACTACCCGACCCGACTATTCAGACCACTCATATAGGGCATGTCTACACTATCATTTTAAACTGTGTCTGAGGGTTAGGTTACTACAGGGGTAGGCAACCTATGGCACGTGTGCCGAAGGCAGCACGCGAGCTGATTTTCAGTGGCACTCACGCTGCCCAGGTCCTGGCCACCGGTCCAGGGGCTCTGCATTTTAATTTAATTTTAAATGAAGCTTCTTAAACATTTTAAAAACCTTATTTACTTTACATACAACAATAGTTTCGTTATATATTATAGACTTATAGAAAGAGACCTTCTAAAAACGTTAAAATGTATTACTGGCACGTGAAACCTTAAATTAGAGTGAATAAATGAAGACTCGGCACACCACTTCTGAAAGGTTGCTGCCCCTGGGTTACTACATAGTTATCCCTTGTTCTAGTTACAACATTTGTACACTCTGTAGCATACATGGGATCCTAACCAACTTCCCAAACCATGGTAAAGCCTTGGACATGATTTGCTCAAGACTTTGTCTGGAACTCAGCTGTATCCCCATCACACTATCAAATGAAACCATGCTGTAACTGGGTCCCCGACACATAGCATGATCGGAATCTTCTGCAGCAATCATTTACAATGGTGCTTGGAGGGTGAGGGGGAAGGAAAAGCCCTCGTTGGCTCTCATCTCTCTCCGTCCCCTCCTCTGAATGTTTTCTCACTGTCCCCCACCCCACTCCCTGCCACTGCTTTTTCTCATTTCTGTTTCTCCCTTATGCCTCAGTTATCTATGGGCCCATCTAGAGTGTACATCATCAGATGGTTTTACACAATTTTTATTCTGAACATTCTTTCCTCTCTGCTGATTGACTATTTGCTCCAATAATCCCCATCCTCACAGTCTCTTCACTGGAGCACCCTCTCCCAGGCTCTTCCATTCTTTGTCCCCCATCCTCTTACCTCCCTTTCTTTGTTTTTATTCCTTTAGCTAATCCCTGTCAGACTGTCTATTATGAACCCCAAGTTCGCAAATATCATGAAACTGGCTCAGAATATCAGGAAATTGCCTTAAGATCATGGATTTTTTAAAGAAAATAATACATTTTGACTGTCTTTTTGGCCTTCTGGTTTTTGAGACTTCAGAGTTTAAATTTTCCTGCTTTTCTCCACAACCACGAGGCTAAAACCTTTCATAAAAAAAAAAAGTAAGCTGAGATTTTCACACACATGCCTCCAGGAGCTGGGGCTTTAAGAAAAGCACTACATATAGCAGTGCTCCTGACAAAATTGTGAGACTTGGCAGAACGGCTGTCTTTCCTTCCCTCCCACCCCTGGGCCTAAAGTATATTATATTTAAACATAAATAATCAAATTTAGAAAACCCACCAAAATATATATTTTAAAACAGCAAAACATGGAACTACTATGTTCTACTTGTATGTTATATGCTTTCCCCTCACCCTCTGTCGACCTTCATAGGTAGTGTTGTCTAGTGGATAGAACACAGGATTAGAACTCAGGAGTCCTGGGTTCTATCCAGGGGTGAGCACCACCATGTTGCGCGATGGACACTTGACAAAATTACCGGACTTAGTGACTGACATTGGCGGAGGGGGCTCCAGGCTGAGGCAAGGGTTGGTGTGTGGGAAGGGATGTATGGGCTCTGGGTGTGGGTTCTGGGGTGGGGTCAGAAATGAGGGGTTCAGGGAGGGGGCTCCGGGCTGGAGCAGGAGGTTGGGGGGGGGTGAGGGCTACAGCTGGGGTGGTGGGGATGAGGGACTTGGGGGGGCAGGAGGCTGCTCCAGGCTGGGACCAACGGGTTCAGAGGGCAGCAGGGGGAGCAAGGCTGAAGTTGAGGGCATGGGAGGGGGTCAGGGGTGCATGCTCCGGGTGGCGCTTACCTCAAGCAGCTCCCGAAAGCAGCAGCATGTCCCCCGTACAGGGAAGCACAGCCAGGTGACTCTGCGTGCTGCCCCATTTCCTACAACTCCCATTGGCCACGGTTTCCGGCCAATGGGTTGATAGCCATGGAGTCAGAGCTCGGGGAAGGAGGCAGCGTGCCTGCAGAGCTGCCTGGCCGCGTCTCTGCCAGCAACAGCAGGGATGGTGAGCGCCCCCACGGACCTCAACATTTTTACCATGGACACTTGTGTTCGTGTACGGACACGCTGCCGATCCCTGGGTCTATTCCCAGCTCAGGCACTATCCTGTTATGTGACCTTGGGCCAGTCACATCTCCTCTCTGTGTCTCAATTTACTCATTTGAAATATGGGGATAATTATAATGACCTCCTTTTGTAAAGCACTTTGAGATCTACTGCTGAAAAGTGCTGTATAAGAACTAGATCAGGGGTCGGCAACCTTTCAGAAGTGGTGTGCCGAGTCTTCATTTATTCACTCTAATTTAAGGTTCTACGTGCCATTAATACATTTTAACGTTTTTAGAAGGTCTTTCTCTAAGTCTATTGTTGTATGTAAAGTAAATAAGGTTTTTAAAATGCTTTAAGAAGCTTCATTTAAAATTAAATTAAAATGCAGAGCCCCCCGGACCGGTGGCCAAGACCCAACAGTGTGAGTTCCACTGAAAATCAGCTCACATGCCGCCTTCGGCACACGTGCCATAGGTTGCCTACCCCGAGCTAGATATTATTACTTAGATAATAACAGATTTTTTAAAAAACAAAAAACCACACCCAGACTTACGGCTGAGCCAGACTGATGTACTAAAACAAAGCTCTATCTTTTTCAGCTATTTCTCATAGCTTTTGACCCAGCGGGTTTTCTTTACTCTTGCTGGCTTAAGTTGCGGGACTGAGGGTTGTTTTAATGTGCTAAAACAGCAAAAAAAGACAAGTGTGGTGAAGTCTTAGAGCTGACTGGGGCCTGCCATATTCCCATGTGCCTGGAGCTTTGCACAAATTATAATGAGTATTTCCAGACAAAATACTGGTTACTTGAGAAGGAAAAAGAGCAAGAAGGGTAAATAACAGTAGAGATACCACAGATATTATTTTTCTTTCTGCAGATGTACCAAGAAACAAATACCCAAGCTCTAAGTCTCTGTATACAAATATTTTAAAATACAAAAAATGAAATAAGAATCCATAATGCAAATACTGGATTGCTCAAGGCCAACGCTCTCAAAAATAATCCACTTAACAATTCAGAATGCCTCATCAATAATACTCCACAACCTGCAATCACCAATTCCTCATGTCACCCCTTCCTGAAAAGCCTGAGTAAGCAGATAAGTCGCGCAGCATGCCCGGATAGTGAACAAACATGGATACTATGGGTA